GAATAGGCTAATTGAATGCCATGCCCTCACAAGATGGCAGCGCCCACAGTCACATGATAGTGGCGCCCAGTCCCCTCAGCCCTTCCTCATCCAGATTCAGTCCCTCAGTCCCCTCAGCCCACTAGGGGACTATATTATAGTTGTGAGAGGGATGTGAGAGGGATGTCAGTGGAACTGGGCCTAAACTGAGAGTCAGACATCCCTCAAGGGGTCCCAGATTGGAGAGGGTGCAGGCTGAGCTGAGGGACACCTGAATTTCATGCATCGGGACTCAAGTGCTTAATATAAAAATGTATATTTAAGCTGTTCTTCATTTCAATACAGAGGTAACCGTTTTGTACCATTAAAAAAGGAATTACATTTTCCAATTAACTCACTTGCCTTTTTAATCAATGTTGCTTTAATGCACTAATCTGAATACTCTGAAGATAATTATCTTAATTTATAATTTGTATTTTATCAATTCTTACATTGCCTTGAAAATGAAGGCAATGTTTTATATGGCAAGCTATGAGACTTCAAATGGGAACAAATATAATATTGAGTGACTAAATAAATTGTAATTTGCAACCAAAATAATGATGATTTTTAATGGAAAACAAAAACAAATAAATTTAATTCTAATTTACAGTATTTCAATTTGCAATATATTGTTACACAATGGACACATTAGGAAAATGTATTAGTACCATTAAGTGAAGAGGACAAATGGAGAAAAATACCAATTTCACAGCTCTGAAAGTTGATTGAAAACTAATAAAAACTTATAATTATTAATTATTAGGAAAGCTGCTAGAGATTTAGTTTAAAATAGAGCAAATTTGTGGTCTTCTTATCTAAGGCTGCTCCCATGTCTCCTCTAACCCAACTCAGCTCAGTGAGTAATAATTGTAATTTTTGTAATTTGGGGAAGGCTGCAAATATCGATGGTATTATTGGTATCAAGGGGAAGACTTGATAAGCAGTGGAAAGGGTTGTTAAGTTGCCCACTGCTAGTATTTTTCAGCTCAAAGTGCTGAATTTATTGGGTGATAAATGAAGGAAATTATCCTTTTCCTAGACTGAGGCTGTGTTCTCCATTGTGTCAGGCACAGTGCCCGCCATAAACATAACAGGAAGGTACTACTAGTAAAAGTAAGAGTGCAGTAGAAGAGATCACATTAGCTCTCTGCATGTGCTTGAGAAATGGGTGGAAAAATTTGCACATGCATAGAAGAAACAAAGATGATATAGTAAAAATTAAAGCTGAAGTGGACTTGAGAATTGATTTCAAAATCATGAGCACTTCCCTACACACACACACACACACACACACACACACACACGAACATCAAATTAAGAGGGTGAAAGCCATGTTGATTTGACGTATTTGAATACATTTTTAAAAATCATTGGTTGTCTGCTAATCTATGCAAACACAAGGCTAATCTCTGGTAAGTAAATTATAAATCTACTAAATATAAAAACAAATAATGAGAATTTAAAAAACTAAGCACACTTTAAAAGAGAAGATTCTATACTAAAAGTTTAAGTTACAAAAAGTCTAAGAAGGATGCAGAATTCATATTTACTATATTATATCATCAAAAATATGTACTTACCAAAAATTAGAAAACATGAAAAGAAACTAAAAAATGTCTTTTAAACGTGATGGGGGGATCAGTCAATAGAATCTAATTTTCACTGGGATAAGGTGTCAGATTTATTAGAAAATATTTTAAAGTAGTTATTATAAGTATATATTAGAAAAATACTATGTTTAAATAACTATATGAAAATATGATGGCAGCCCTGGCCAGTATGGCTCAGTTGGTTGTAACATCTTCCCATGTACTAGAAGGTTGTGGGTTCAGTTCCCAGTCAGGCCACTTACCTCGGTTGTGGGTTTGAACCCGAGTTGGGGCACATAGAGGAGGCAACTAATGGATGTATCTCTCATATAATATAGCAGATTGTCTTCACAAACTTTGACTAACTTCTAAAATAATCACTAACACCCAAAATGAGGTATTGGACTAGGTTTACATTAATAAATTCAGGTCATATAAAGACCCCAATATGAGACTGAAAATGTAAGTAACAGCCAAAAACACTATTTGCACTTATAAATTTAAAGAAGAGCTCATATAGAAAAGATAACGATTCTAGGAAGGAAGATAACAGGCAGCACACAGGAGAACTGGTAGAGAGACATGAACAGGCACCTCTCATTCTCTCGATACATAATTCCATAAGATCTAGTGCCCAGAAAGACGTGTTCTATCCATTAGCAATCAGAAAAATGCCTACTTATGTCAAAATGATACTTTTATATAATGATCAGAATGTATAGCATTGAACGTTCTGTTCTGGCAGTACTAAATCTTGGATCATGGAATTTTTGGATAAAATGTGTATTTATATAATAAACTAGAAAATGTTGGGATAATCTAATAAATTTGGCATATACATATATTTATGACTCTGTAATTTCATTCTGATTCATAGAGGACAGTAAATTTTCACTATCTACATATGCAATTATAATCATATAATTGTACTAGAGGCCCGATGCACGAAATTTGTCCAAGGGGCTCGGCCCTCACAGCTACGGCAGCTGCATTGGCCCTTGCAGCCCCAGCTTTGTCCAGAAGGTCATCCAGAAGGTCATTTGGCTGTCCAGTCTAATTAGCATAGTATGCTTTTATTATAGATTTATACATTATTATATTATCATAAATATAACATTTATAGTATATGAATACAATGTATTATATTTAATATTTATATAAAATATTAATTGTTTTAAATACAATATAATATTTGAAAAAAACAGACACAAGGATTTTCCTAAAATATTAATAATATCAACACATTTAGAAACAACTATATCCTGGGTATGTCATGTCCCTACAATAAAGCAGAAAAAATTAACAAATTACAGATAAATGCAATAATATGGAGAGATTGCAAAAATATCATGTGAGTGTTAAATGAGACACACAGGAGAGGGGCTACGGTGAATTGGCAACTTCTATTTCATGATTTGTAATTATATGGATCACTTAAGTTTGTAATTAATCTGCACAATCATGATACCTTCATTTTCCTTGATGTATAGTAAAATTAAATAGCAAAGGTTTCTTTAAAAAAAAGCATTTATAGAAACATGCTTATCTATAAAAAAGCAAGAACTGGAAATTATTAAATGTGCACGAATGTCATAAAATATAAAAAAATAATATTCAAACAATGTATGTTAATAGTCTTTAAAATAAGTGAACTATGAATACATACAAGATATGAATGAATTGTATAAATATAGACTAAGATAGACTTTTAAATAAAATGGAAACATTTAAATCTTACCAGTTCTTCTTCATTATCTATGTAAAGCAGATTAGAGCTCTTAGAAGTACAGGCCAGCACACTCTCATTCCATGCTTTTCTTTCAGTACTAATGTAATAGCAATTGTTGGAATATGTAAACCACTCCTTTGGACAATGTCCACAATAATATGCTGGAGAAAGATTATAAAATTTTATCAAAAACAATTTAAATTTTTTAAAATTAATTTACATACTTGCATAGGTATAGTGTAGACACATTTGTGCAATATATATAAAAGAAAACACACTCACAGAGAAGGGTTAGTCTCTTTTTCCTGGTTTACGTTCCATATTAAGCAAACAAACAAAAATATCCACTCTCTACATGTCCTGAATGTCAATGAAGAAAACCACTTTTTTAGAATCCCAAAATTATCTTTGAGCCCATCTGCAACATGAGTATTATGATCTTAAATGAATATTTCTTCATATTGTTGCATTAGAAAACACTCTCCTATAATCATTATTATGAATATGTATTGCCTGGTATTATAATTTATGTCCCATTCCCCAAAAGCTATTATTTTTGACTACCCTATCTTGGAGATAAAGTATGAACTATACTAATATTAGAACTGAGGAAATAATTATGTACCTTCCTGGATCCTCATATTCGATGACGAATTATTCTGCTCAGGTATTACATTAGCTGAAAAAAAAAAGTAATTCTTAAATTAATTTTGATCTAACTACATCATAATACTTTTGTTTCTTATGTTTAATTGTGTTGTATTGTCTAGGATTAGAATTATCTGGAGTAAAAATTAATTACCAATGAAAATTAATGTAGTAATAACAATTTTGAGGAAAAATATTTTTAAAGTCTAGAGAACTACATCTCACAGTATTTAGATTAAAAAATCTCAAAAATTAATTTGTATTTTTCAATAAGGTGTCCTAAAACATGCCTTGAGTTATACAATCAGAATATATATATATATATATATATATATATATATATATATATGGCTATATGTGGTCATATATGTGTACACATATTTATAATCTACTCTCTAAAATCGTTCTGATATTTATACATTGGACAAATTAAGAATCATCATTTTGCACTTAGTCTAAATGCTTTAAGATCAGAGTTCTATTCTATAACATTATAAAGTGAACATAAAGTGAACATAAAAGATGGACATAAAAGTGAAAATTTCTGTATAACCTTACAAAAATGTATTTACAGAGAATAGGTATTGTCACCACAGCAGACATCAGGACAAGGCAGATGACCCCTAGGGTCCCAGCAATGAGCTTCTCTAGAGGTGATGGTGAAACTGCAGGAAGAGAAAAGGATACACTGAGAAAGGAGAGAGAGACAATTTGTTTAGACAGTTTACATACAGAGAATCAAATACATAAACTTGGACACCAAGCCCATGCCTACCACTGTAATCTTCCTCTGAGAATATACCATCGCATGTTTAGAAAATATAATGCTATATGCATTACTGGTCAATAATAAAATTAGCCCTCAGCTTTCATATTAGTATACTGTATTCCAACTTTAAGCGCTGATTCTCACAAATGAAAAATATGACAGCTAATGCCCTACTTTCCCCCATCTCTGCACCCCAGCCGCACACACTACAACAGTTATACTGTGTGTCTATTGAATGTGTTACCTTTGGAGTGGTCCTTCTTGTCCCTCTCTTGAAGATCCCGGGTAGCATTTTGAAGAGCTAATTCTGCATAGGTTACTATTTCCTGCTCCGTTACTGGAATGGAGCTTTGAGTGCCCTTAGGCTTCCTTTGCTGTCTCTTGGCGGACTTGGCCAAATTCAGTTCTGCATAGGTTACAGGTTGGTTGTTCATCTCTGCAGCTGGGTGGTGTTTGAGACTGTGCTCTAAGTCAAGTGTACTTACGAATAATGACATATGCAATAATTCGATCTCTAGGACAGGAACACTGGGCGGGGTAAAGGGTAGTAGGGCTCATTTCCAAGTTGAAAAATCTAAAGTTCTGGTTTTAAATTTGTTAGACCTTTAAATAAATAGATGTACATAGTAGATGTAGTTTTTATCATATTCTACATTTGACAAGATATTATTTGTTTGAGCCATAGAAAGCAATAAATCAGTGAGGAATAAAGAATAGCATAAATACTGACATTGTCATTAATTTAAAGTCAGATTCCATGAAAATATTTTAACATTATTAGAATGCTTGTATTAAAATTAAAATGTATTAGAAAAAAAGAGTCTTTAATTTTTTTAAAAAATTTGAAATCAAATAATGATTAAAGACTGAGTGCTCCAAAGATGGGGCATCAGTTGTGTTGGCATATATGGTAACTTTCTGAAGTAAATTAATTTTATTTAGTGGCATATATTTATTTATTATGCTGTAACATAATTCATTAAACAAAAGTCTCTTTGTCAGTGTGGTGTCGTATCTTTTTTAAAATGTCTTTTGATTGTTTATAATTAAGCTTAAATTTGCATTTTGGGGGAGCTATTTCATCCCAATTTTTATTAAAAGCCAACTGCTTTCATTTAATCTATGTAAGTGTATATTTAGATGACCGCTGTAATTCAGAGAATTCATTTTAATAATCTCTTTTTAAAGGCTGGGCTAAATATAAATTATACCCATAATGATTATAAAATAAAATAAAAATAACTCTTCCTTGTCTTGATTCTTGCTGGAAATCGTTTGTAAATTGTTTAGACCTATTTCTACTTTAAATTGTTTTTGCTTAACACATCAATTATGCATGTGTGCATGCACTTGAGTCATTCTCTACAGGCAAGAATTTGAATAGTTTGATATCCTCCAACATAGTTCATAGTTTATTCTTCTCATTTCCCCCCCAAATTATTTACATAAAGATACCATTGTTCTCTTTTATTTGCTTGTATCTTACTTGTACCTCCCTGGTATCACATCTAGCATTTGTAATCTCCCACCACATGAGACGGGCTAACAGAGACAGGAGAATAGAGGCACATACCTTCTGTATCCTTCACTGGGAGACCAGGTTCTCTAGTGAGCAAAGAATGTCTGTGGTCTTCACAGACTGCCTCGCAAAGGTTCACAGTGAATCATGAGTGGAAAAAGTAAATTTCTCATAAATATGTCACTGAAAGTTTGAACAGGAAATTCTTACACTTGGGCTATTTTGAAGATAGTTTACGTCATCAAACACCTCCAGAATGTAGGATACTTTGGGCCGATAAGTGCGTGCTGTAGTTTATCCACAATGGCAATACCTCTGAGAAGATGTTTTCTTATTCGAAAAGATATCAGAGGACAAAGGACTTCACCACCCATGCTGTTAACTTACTTACATCTTAATCACAAACACTGAACACTTAGGCCTTGTTAGGTGTATCTCAGATATTTAAATTCGACTCTTATACAGGTTACTGAATCCTGGCATTACATACTTATTTTCATTATACACTCATTATTTAGTTTCTATTATAATGGGAAATTTTCTAAAATTATAATCCCATTAACTATAATTATTTAATGACATTTGTCTCCAATGGTCTGAAGAATTATTACATTTTCACCTTTATAACTGACACAACAATCATTAATTCTCACACTTACCATCTCAATTTCTTTGCCCTAGTTGTTAAAAAATCCCTTCATTCATTTTATTATTCATAAATGTTAGTTAGACTTCCCTTGGCAAAAATAATATCTCTGTGAAGGATAGAACATTAGATAATGTTGAACTATAGCACCATGACAGAGATTAAATTATTATATAGCTATTGATTGTATTTTTGTTGGTTCATTTTCAAATCAAATCCATCTCTATTTTAATTAGGATTAGTTGTTGTAAATGACAAAGCCCAAGTCTAACTATGTAGGGGGAAAACAAAGGTAATTTAAAAAAATGTCCCTTACTAAAAAAAATGGGAAGGGCAGAAAAAGATGATTTTTAAAAAACAAGTTAAATGACACATAAGCATCAAAAGAAATAAAACTTTACAGCACGATGGTTTGAATACATGTATTGCAAAATGATTGCCACAATAGATTCAACTAACATCCATCTTCTCACACAGGGAAATAAGGAAATAAAGAGGATATAGTGTATTCACACTGTATATGCTAACCCCCTACTAATCACATAAGAGCCATCGAGGTTACCAGACAGACTGCTGTGGTATCACAGTGCTTGTGTTCAAGCAACCCTTATTTTACAAAACTTATGGCCTAAGATCACCCCATGGAATGCAGCATTAAAGTCACCCATATGATCAGCGAAGGATTACCTTTTCAGCAACCTTTGCAGCAACATGTTGATGAGTTTAAAAAAAAAAGACACAGCAACTTCCAGTAACAGTGTTCTTCCAAAACTATTCTGCAGTGATAGTTCCTGTGCTGGTGCATTGTGACAATACCCAGCTGGGGCAGGAATCCAGGGAAGTTAGACCCATCCCTATCCCTTTGGGCCCTGTGGGCCCTCATCTGGCCTCAGTGCAATGGCAATGCTTCACCATTGATGAGGTGGATGGATAGGATGAGGACCTGGAGACCTATTTCTACCCTGCCCTTGTGGTGATAACTTCTGCATCACCAAGAAAAATGTGGAGAATGGGGAAGACATAGTAACCTGTCCTTGCTGCTCTTATTATCAAAGTGACTTATGGGCCTGGCCAGGTGGCTCAGTTGGTTGGAGCATGTCCTATACACTAAAACAGTGATCAGCAAACTGCAGCTCAGAGCCTCATGCGGCTCTTTGGCCCCTTGAGTGTGGCTCTTCCACAAAATACCGATTTCTGCGCATGGGCCACAAAGTTTCAATCACACTGTACATGCGCACCCACACATGGTATTTTGTGGAAGAGCCACACTCAAGGGGCCAAAGAGCCACATGTGGCTCACGAGCCGCAGTTTGCCGACCACTGCACTAAAAGGTTGCAGGTTCCACAATCCCTGGTGGGGCACATTTGGGAGGACTGATGGGTGGTCTCTCTCTCTCTCTCTTCCTCCCTCTCTAAAAAATCAATGAAAACATATGAGCGGCCTTTTTGTTGTTGTTATTGTTGTCTGCCAGCAGCAAGGTTATATGTGTGGCCATTAGCTGAGACACAAAATAAATTACCAAAAATGTGTGCTGGAAGTGCTTGGTACATTATATGCAGCAGTAGGGGCCCAGTACACCAATTTGTGCACCTTGAAAGGAACTGTGGGCCACAAGGCTGTGGTGGGAACAGGGGCGGGTCTTGGGCCATCATCTGATCCCCACCTGGCCCCTCCTGCTGCAGCCCCTGGTCCCCTCTCTACTGGCAGCTCCCCTCCCACCGCCATCGCTCCCATGGGCTGACAGCATTGGGGCTGGCACTGAGCAATTGGGGCTGACACCAGCAGCGGGTGTGAGTGGGGCCGGCACTGTAGGTGGATGTGAGCTGCAACTGCTGCCCTTATTGCCTCTCAGGAGCAAGAGGAGGTGGAGTAGCCCTCAGGGGCTATCAGGACCAGTGCCGGGCGCCAGCAGCTGGTGCAAGTGGGGCTGTCACTGGCAGCAGATGCAAGAGGCAGCTGCTGGCCTTGATTACCCCTTAGGAATATGGGGAGGTGGAGAAGCCCTGAGGAGCATTCATGGCCAACAGCCGCCACTCACACACACTGATGGTTCTGAGCGATCTGGGCCAGCGCCAGGCGCTGGCAGCGGGTGCAAGCGGGGCCAGCACCAGTTGTAGGTGCGAGTGCCTGGCAGGACTGCGACCTGAGGGAGCAAAGAATTTTCAGTAACCACCAGAGGCTTGACCCAGTGACAGTGACTTCCACCCCACCTTGGTCTGGCGCCCCGCTCACCTGCCCCAGCATCCTGCCGCAGCCAATCCCATGTTCCGCACTCTGCTGCCTGCTGCCAATGCCCACCATGTTCCACATGTGCCCGCTGGTGGTCAGCGCACATCATAGTGACCGCTTGTTCAGTTTTTCCACCGTTCAGTCTATTTGCATATTAGGGTTTTATATATATAAACTAGAGGCCTGGTGCATGAAATTTGTGCATGGGGTGGGGGGAGGGTGTCCCTCAGCCCAGCCTGCACTCTCTTCAATCCAGGACTGCTGGATCCCAACCACTTGTCTGCCTGCCTACCTGATTGCCCCAAACCACTTCTGCCTGCCAGCCTGATCACCCCCTAACTACGCCCGTGCCAGCCTGATCAATGCCGAACTGCTACCCTGTCAGTCCGATTGCCCCTAACTGCCCTCCCCTGCTAGCCTGGTCACCCCTAACTTTCCTCTCCTGCCTGCATGGTCACCCCTAACTTCCCTCCCCTGCATGCCTGGTCGCCCACAACTGCTCTCTCCTGATATCCCATTCACCCCTAACTGCCCTCCCTTGCCAGCCTGGTCACCCTCAACTACTCTCACCTGCTAGCCCAGTCACCCCTAACTGCCCTCTCTTGCCAGCCTGATTGCCCTCAACAGCCCTCACCTGCTGGCCTGGTCACCCTTAACTGCCCTCCTCTGCAGGCCTGGTCCCCCCCAAATGCCCTTCCCTGTTGGCCATGTTGTGGTGGCCATATTGTGCCACATGGGGGTGGCCATCTTGTGTGTTGGAGTGAGGGTCAATTTGCATATTACTTCTTACTATATGGCATAGTCTGATGTGATGAGACATTTCATTGCTGTTTGAGGCATCTCATTACTGTTGCCCCAGAAGTAATCCACACTTGGTTTGGAATCAGTGGTGGCTCAGATGACCAGAGCAGGTGCTGGCTATTAGAGATGAGCTACAGAGAGAAACAAACTGCTCCATGTGCAGTGTTGGTGGCTTTGTAAATATCGATGATTTTAACTCCCTTGGTTAATGATGAATTTCAAACAAGAGCACAGACTT